CTACAGTAATATTTTTAATGTGATATTATAAACAATTATAACTATTGTGTAGTACTGTGTACTATACTTGTACTGTACACTATATAATAATGTACTGTAGTAGTTATATAAGAGCTAATACAGTGCTTATTTACTTATAAGCTATACTTGTGTACTATAAAATACTTAAAGCAATATAGTTATATAGAATAAATATATAGTGAATTTACTAGTATGCTGGCACCACTTTTGTACTGTTACTACAATATAACGTTCGAGAATATAGTAAAATTAATTTAATACACTTACAGTATACTATTATTGTGGTTATAATAATACTTTAGTACAATATTTACACTTTGTAGTATTTGCAGTACATAAATTTCTATAATATAACAGTAAAAAATATGAAAAACAATTAATTAAAACAAGTATTTAGCTATGAGAATAATACTCCTGTTAATATTCTGTATTTAAAGTATAAAAAAATTACATTTAAATTATTATAACATTGAAGAAGCGAGGGAAAAAAAGGGAAGAAAATAAGGAAAAGTGAGTTTTACTGAGAAAGAGAAAGAGAGAGAGAGAGCTTTAAAAAAGATTAAAAATTAAAATAAATAAAATTAAAAGTAGTAAAAATGTTTTCTAAAGTAATATAAACTTCTGTTTTAATAAACTTATTCAATTTAGTAATTAAATATTAAATCTAGAAATAGCATTACTTCCATTCCAAAGGATTATCAGACATATAATAAAAATTGTATGTTCACAAATATTAAATTGCCCACATCCCCTTATAAAAATATATTATAAACAATCTACAAAATAAATTGCTTTTTTTTTCTTTAAAAATGACAAATACATTTCTTTAAAATAATAATATTTCACAAAAAATAAAATTTAATTTAAGTATCGAGTTTTATTAAATTATAAATAAATAAATAAATAAACGAAAATCAAATTATTTTGCATTTTTATTTAATTTATAAACTCATTTTTTAAAGTTAATAATTAAAAAATAATATATTTTTATTTTATTATTATATAAATCGTAAATAAATGTATTAAAAATGATGTAAAAATTCTGATTTTTTTAGTATTTTAATTTTTAAAAATTTAATAACGATCATTTAATTTATATTAAATAAAAATGCTTTATAGTTCCGGCACTTTTAAGTATTATATAGGCCTCTCTATATATATTTTTTTAAATATTATTCTTTCAACATCCTCTTTCATTGAAATTTTAATTATAATAATAATAAAAGAAGTGTATTATCATATGCAATTTTCTTCAGAGATAAATTACTCTACACATTTACAAAAATATACAGATTTATGAGCGTGTTGCACCGTTGTAGATTGCGAAATTTATGAGATATATTGCACGGTTGCAAGGATTCACAAACATCACGCATCCCTACAGACAGAAAGAAGAGATAAATGTAAAAAGAGAAAGAAAATTACAACGATAAAAATCGATTTTATATATATATATATATATATATATTGTAACATTCGATCTTTCTAGTGGTATTTGATTTCAAAAGCAATTCAAAGAATCAAAAGTGTAAGAAGGGGGCGTCAAATCACTAGAAAGTTAACGAACCATACCAACAGTTTGGCACTATTAAGTGAATTTTCCTTCAGCAAAGAGTAACAGCTAATTGAACTTGGGACAAATGTCATGTTATGTAACCATTTGTTGAAAGAAATTACGTTTTCAAACGTTGCAAAAGTTACCCCCTTGTAACTTTTCTACTTAAGGAAAGATTGAATGTAAAAAGTCATCATTGAAACGATTTTTTTCCTTTTTTTTACACGTATAATGATGAAAAAGTGAAGCGAAACAAGGAAGAATCGAGAGAAAACCATAACGTTGTAGCGTGAAAACAATGGTACGAAGAAGAAATTGATAAAAATCAGTAGAAAAAAAAACAACTGCTATTGAAAGTGTTAAAGAGTTAGAAAACTGCTAAATATGATGCTATTCATAACATCATATTTAGCAGTTTGCTGACTCATTAATAATACTAATCTGAATAAAATTACTGTTATTACTCTTTAAAAAGAACATTAAAAAATATGTCGAGAGAAAAAATAAATTAAATTTATTTCTGTAATTTTATAACTGTTCATTTTTAAAATGAAAATAATAATAATAATAAAAAAATAAATTATTGTGTTCATTTTAATAGCACAATATAAAAGAACGTAACGAACATTTTACTTTCTTCAATTGAAACTGACCGAAAAATATTGAGTTTTATTACTAATTATAGTAAGAGAATGCACATAAAACGTGAAGGCTTAATTCTTATTCACGATAAATAAGCAGAAAATACAAAATTTTAGCACTTAGTTACGTTAGAGAAGATGAAAAAAGATAAAAATTTTAGTATTCAGTTACAATAAAGAAGCTGAAACTGACAAAATTTTAGTTGTTAATTACGATAAAGAAATTGAAACAGACAAACTTTATTTGTTAATTACAATAAAGAAGAGAAACAGACAAAATTGTAGTTGTTAATTACGATAAAGAAACGGAAACAGACAAAATTGTAGTCGTTGATTACGATAAAGAAACGGAAACAGACAAAATTTTAAACTCATTTACGTTAAATATTAAAGTACAAAATTTTAATATGCATTTACATTTTAAAAAATGAAATAAAGACAACCTAAAACTATAAAATACAAACTTGAATAAAAATTTTTATTTCTGACCTAAATTAAAGAATGTGAAATAGAAAAAAATTTTAATTATCCAATACAAGAAGACGAATTATATATCCGAGTGAAATGGTAATAATTTAACATTTAAAGTAAAAATGAAGAAACTCAAGAGGACATACGTGAGAAGTTGAAAATAGTCAAAACTATGCGGCCATTATCTAATTCGTGTATGTAATAATGACCTTTTAGGTAGCGGCAGTGTCACAATAACTGTTACTCAGTCAGGAGAAGAGCCTGGTCACTATATCAAACACATGGGGAGGTTGTCCCTCCTGTCAGATTTTGATTAACGCGTGTGGCTTTATGCATCGTAAAGGCGCTTGCCTACCCAATAAAGCCCAACTTTGATGGATGTTATGTTGGACGATTTCTATAACATACCCCCCTTTACTTATACCATATAGCAGTAACAACACGTGTAATAACAGCGCTATATACAGAAATTACATCAATATAGCTACAATTAAAAGAGTATAGAAAACTGTAAAACACGTGACAAACCATCATTTTGTGGAGTAACAATAAGGGATTAGGAGAAGTATAATTAGGATGCTGTGTAGTATTTTAGATAGGGAGAAACACTGTACATATATATATTAGTGTGAAAGCTTTGAGAATTTTTATTACTATAATAGCACGATTGTTCGGGATGCATATATTCATTGTATAAATATTCATTATTCAAATGTAAACATTATAACGTTAGTGACGTCTTAACGACGTGGATGATAAAGTAACATTATTTTTGTTGGCTACTACGTAAAAAATAATCACTGGCACTTTAATTATGTAATAGCACATACCTATACAATGTCTCATTAGTAAAATGCAACCCCCTTGTTAATGTATGCAAAGGACATTATTCGAAAATCTAGTAAAATAATTTATCAGAAAATTAATGAACCATAACAAAACGGTAAACAATCCATCAGAGAAAAATTTTTCTACTGTATTAAAATTGTAGCATATGAAACGAATTATCATGCTAATTAATTAGAAAATTAGAAAAAAAAAATTGAAAAAATAAATATTAATGAAAATTTGCATATCGTTGTATTATTTTTTTTTTCTTTCAAAATATCGCGGTTTATTCGCGCGTTAAAATTTATTCTAATATCAAAATTAGGTAGAAAGTAAGATTAAACATGTCCAAAATTGTCGTTAAAAGTGTCAAAATTTATATTATTAATACAGAAATAATGTATGGCATTAAATAGTTCGTATACAGGAGCTTTACGTTACGTTTTCGAAAGGTTATCCGTGCTACTATACTCATTTATGCCGGATAATCGCGTGCTAATTGTTTAATTAATCAATTCTAATATTCCAATAGTCACGAATAATAGGATTCCAATGTATATATTTATAATAGTATACAATTTTGAAGAGTTATCCGCAATTTATCATTCAATTAAGCCGGATAATAGAGTTCAAGTTTGTTAATTAAGTTAGGTTTGATACTACGATGAATTGGTACGTATAAGAGAATAAATATTAAAATCTATTTCACATTTAAAATAATGCGCGATTTTATTCCGCGCTTCTTAGTTCGATTTCCCCGGATAATCGAGTGTAAATTAGTTAATTAACTTCCCACATATATCAATACATTCCGATATAAAGAGGATCGCGAAGAACGTAACCGATTTTACAAAGGTTATTAACGTTAACTAGCTTACTTATCCCGGATAATCGAGTGCGTTAATCAATTAATCTTCCCTGATACATACCCGAAAGATTAATACATGCAATCGGATGAGCGCGAGAACGGTTGCGAGATTTTGAGGGATAGACGAGCTTGACTCCGCTCAATTAGGCCGGATAATCGAGTATAAATTAGTTAATTACTTAGCCGCAATATTCAATAAGGCATTTGCTTTGTAAGAAGGCACGAAATTTCTTTAAATTTGACACAAGATCTGCGCACAAAATTGCACTTTCTCCCTTGCAATATTGCAAGGGAAGGAAGTGAAGGAAGTACAGTGCTCTTGCCTTAATCATAAACTCTGAAATCCATCAAAATGATAAAGATTTCGGTTATGCGGATACCTTTTTTTTTAAAAAAAAATTATATAATTCACCGTTACGTATTGAAGAAGACCCGAAATGCTTTTAGGGCTTTCACATAAACCCAATATAATCAATAGAAAAGGGTCAAAAACCCCGAGTGTGCACAAAACACTTAGGAAATTTATCCTGTGGCACCCGTGGGACTTTCCGTCATCGATAGGTACAGTGGACAAGTAAAGCGTGTTCAAACTTTCAATCAGCTGATTGAATCTTACCTGCATCGTCCGCAGCTGTCGATAGTCGCATTATCAATATAAGCAGGCCTATAGGTAAGAAACAAGGCATTGTGGTTCACTGTAAAACTCCGCACAGCTAGTCCTTAACGTATAAGCACGACCGTTGCCTTGGCTGTAATGTTACACAGCTTCTGTCCGCTAGCTGCTTCTCTTACAGTTCCACTATACTAGCGCCCTCTACACGTACACACGAAGCGACACCTATATAACTTCGATTGTCGATTGTGGTTTCGTTTCTCGTCATTAAATGTATACAACGTCCTTCTCGTGACGTTGATAATGCCCAAAACTCGCATTTTCCAAAACAATTTAATGCTTTTTTATTGCAGATGAGACTCGGCGTTAACATTTTTTTCTTTTTTTTTTGGAAATGATGTTCCAGTTTTCTAACTGATTTTCCAAAACAATTTAACGTTTTGTGAGGATGAGAGTTGAAAATGATGTTCAAGCTTTCTTTTTTTTTTTAATTTCCATAAATATAAACGTTTTTTGAATGTGAAAGCTGAAAAAATAAATAGAAAAACCTACTTTTAGTTCCTATCTTCGGAAAATTTTAACGTTTCTGAAAATAAAACTGAAAATAAATAAAATTTAGAAAATAATATTCTTAAGAATTTTAAAGGAAAAATGTGTTTAACAGTTTTTAAAAAACGTTTTTATTTTTTTGTGAAGAAGAAAATGAAGATTTTGAACATGAAAAATGAAAAGAAGGGTAGAAAAAATGTCAACGTTTTTTTCTTCTTCTTATCAATAAATTTAATCAAAATTTATTATGCAATTTTCATTTTTATTCATTATTATTGTCAGCTTTACTGATGTAACGTTATTATATTTAAAATTGTTGCTTTGTCGTGAATTTTTTATAAATATAATGTATGTAAATATGTTAAAACTATAGGAGATATAAAAGTAAAACTATTAAAACTACATGCTGTTCTTCCCTTAAGAATTTCGTTTTATGTTATTATATCTCATAAAGCTTTATACGTAATATATGCCGTAAAATTTTATGTACTTATTTAAAGCTGCGCGTTATATACAAGTTGCTATACGTTTAAAATTGTTCTGATAGACGTAATTACGAATTATATTCAATAAATCGTTCAATATTAGTCACTTAACTTGTTAAATTTCAAGGATTTTGTACTACACATATGTAAATGCTTCGTAGCTTTGAGGCACAGTTGCACCTCTTACAGTTGAGGTATGCTCGGAATACCAAAATTTTAAGGCAATTGAGTGATTGTTTAGTAAAAAAACTTCAACAATTAACACTTTACAAATAGAACCTTCCTTTATAATTTATTTACGCAAGGATGCTTACATTAGTGAGGTTATTACAATGCTTCACTGCTAGTAAATACGAGACACTATAATGTATATTAAGCAAAATATTGAGAGATATTGCACTTGAAATTTATGAAGTGTATACAAATATTTAAAATTGTAATAAGAACAAAGAAAATTTCTGCTATACACCTCTATAGAATTATATTAAGGTTCTACAAAACACACATTTACAGCCAAGTGATATATTTAAACTACCTAAAACTAATCCAAACCATACACCTAACTTGTTTAGAAGTATAGAATGATGCACATAGATCTTAATTTTATAAAATTTATCATCAAAAATTTTCATGCAGATTAAACCAGATTAATAACATTACGTCGTTTATCAACATAGTGTAGTGTGTATAAGAGCAATAAGCATGATTTGTATGAACAACGAGATCGTGCCGAGTGTACATATCTATATATTTAAAACACTAATGTTCTTGCGGTTTGATCCAGACAGTTTATAAAATATTACTACATACGTCTATATTTTTCAACTAACCAAAAAGTTTTATCGTGACACGTGAAGCTACACTTTTGAGATTCCTCATAAAGATCGCGTGGAAGCTCCTATCTGACGTAAACACGCAACTACAGTATAAACAATGTCAATACAGCTTAATATCCGTTAATTGCTGGCACTAAATGCTCTCTCTGTAAATAAAAATGGGAGGTGATATCAAAAATTGCTACATATTTACTAAAGTATTAATAATATAACGTGTATATCATACTTATAACGCTGTACTTTCTTATATATCTCTGTAAAAATCATTAGTCGTAAATTACAGGACATACAAGTAGTGTTTTTTTATAGTTAAGCAGGGGATAGTTTGATTTATGTGTCAATTAATTTAATTTATATAGTTTTAGCTAGAATTGTAATATTGTTTTAACAGGATTTAGATCTGTAAAACGTAAAAATAACTACGATATTCGTGCTTGGTTGATGTTGGGTGTGTGTGTTTGTATGTATGTGTGTGTGCGAGTGACTCCATTTTTAATGCTGTAAACGAGTTTAAAATTATCAACGTAAATAGTTGAATTCAACTGTTTTTTTTACATCTGAAGTAATGATCTGAAGAAGTCAGTAGTGGAGAAGATTAAATGTTTTGATATCTTCACTATAAAGTGTTACTTTCTACAGACATCACTAGACGAATATTTAGTCTAGTAAGATACATAATTAGACTAGTAAGATAATTAAAGAAGTCTGGTCTAACTAGACTAGAAGTCTCAGTAGCTAGACCCATTAGACTATTCTATATTAATACACTCATTATCAATATCTCAATAAACCGGACTTTCTAAACTCATTAGACTAATTAAAATTATATTATTAATCTAATTATACTTGCTAAATTCATTAAACTAAACTAAATTATTTTACTAAACTCACTAAACCATGCCTACCAAGATATTTCACTAGACAATATAGGCTTATCTCAAAAATGACCATCGAAATTTGTAGATATTTGTAGATTATTATCTTTAATCAAATCTATGATTAATTTTTAATATTTAACCTTATAATTTCAATAATTATTTACCATTTTAATTACTTCTACAAGCGTAATTTATAGATGCTTATATTAACGTTAATATCTCTTTGTTTACAACTATAAAATTCGTGGAATTGCTTCTTATTTCCATATTTGGGTAGTAAGATATTTTGGAATTTGGTTTTTTGTATCGTTTCAGAGGTATTTCTACAGTATGTTTAGCTTTCTTTGTGTATATATCAGGGTTCTCCCTCTTTCTATAACAGAAAGAATCGACTTCTTCGTAAATGACAGAATGGTGATGTCTAAGAACCTCTCTTTATGTTTACTTCTAGGCATAGATTTCCAATGGGAAACATGAAAAAAAAAATCAAACATGGAGTGACACATTTAATAAATATGTATATAAAACTACACAAACTTGTAATATTTTATAAGCTAAGTTACAATATTTAATTTATATTTTCACATTTTCTTGATATAATTACTGAAAAATATTTTCAATAGAGATTAAGCACAACAGCTGATGACAGTTCGATAGATGTTCCATCAATGTCAAAGGATATGAATGGGGGCAATAACAAAGATCTAGCAAGTCCCCTAGTGTTGTGAGTTACAGGAAGACAGGAGGATGGTTACGTTTTCAAAATGGCTGAGCTTACATAATACAAATTATCCCTTATTTGACATTATGAAAATTAAGTTTGTGTGGTTTTGACGCGCCATAAATAATACAACAATTCTTATAAAGAATATACAACAACAATAATACATTCCAATAATACAACAATTCTTATAAAGAAAATATGTGCCAAAAAGTTTTGTCAACTACACCGGTTCATTGAACTAGAAATAAATCATATAGAAGAAAAAAACAGTAATAACTATCATGGGTATGGTTTTCATCATCTAAGAAAAGTCTAAGAAACAGGAAAAAATAAAGTTTTATGAGATAAAAGCAACGATATACGATATAAAATAATTTCTCTACATGCACATTTATACAATTAGCATTAATTTTTTTCACTTTAGCGTGTAAAATTCAACGTAAATGTTTGTGAATCTTGAACTCTGATTCTTGAAAAGTCTGCTATAAAAACTTTTTACAAAAATATCTTGAAAATTAGCTTATAAAATGCTAAATAAAGGACATTCTAGTATTAAAAACTTGAAAATTCTTAATACTTTTTTTTATTTTTACAAATGATGTGAGATACAAAAAGTACCATAGAATTTCTAGGACACATTTTTCTAATATCTTTGTTACTCCAGAATAAGAATGGTACTGTACCATGGAATTTCTAGTATACGTTTCTAGAATACCTTCCCTACTCCAGTATAAGGATCCTAGTCTAGAAACTTTATAACCGTTTTATAGAACACTTTTCCTACTCTAGAATCTTAGAATAATAATTTTGTATTAAAAAATCTAAATTTTAAACTACTTTCATAATAAAAAACACAATAGAGATTTTTCTTAATTTATATAAGAATTATAATTACTAGCAGCAGAAAAATTTAATTTATAAAGAAAAACATGTCTAGTAACATTTTACATGAGTACAACACAAAGAGAAAATTTATAACATGACAAAATCATGAGAAATTAACTCATAGGAGTCAAAAGATGATGATATTTATGTATGACTTTTATTGTTTACAATCCAGACATGATATGTTGCAAGTGAAAGCTATTAATGAAGGATGAATTATGTAGATTGTTAAGACATGAATTAACCATGTGTTTGTTAGCAATGTCGTATGTTTTCATTCATTCATTGTCATGTAGTAACGTTTATACAACAGTATAAATGTTGGAAACAAATATTTATGACTAGGTGAAGCATATTTTATAAAGTACAATAGGGTAAAGTTTTTCTTATTTTTTAAAAAAATTACTTCGCATATAAAAATAATTTTTTAGCTTAAATATTATTTACTGATTCTCTTATATTTATTTTATAAGTTTTTAAATATATTTAAGTATAATTTCTGCTATAAAAGCATATTTTTGCATCACGTTCCGCTCCTCTTCTTTCGTCATCTAACAGCAAAATAATTTTTTTCTCTCTTGTTTTTATCGTTATTTTCACTAATTTTAACTGTAAAATAATTAAATTATTCATATTTTAACTAATTAATTTAATTATTACGGATGTTTTAATATAATTCTGTATACTAAAAGCTCCTTAAGAGCTCGTAGCTTTAGTGCCGCGCGCGACGTCGCGTAGCTTCGCTTAGCCATAAAAACGTTGTCCAGCTTATTACAAATCTACAAACAAACATAAACGTTTGT